CCCACATAAGGTACTAGGCACATGCAAAGAATGAACGGAATCGGTCCACAGGATTCTGAAATATGACGTTGGATAGACAGACGCACAGACGGTCGGACGGACAGACTCAGGAACTCACGGACGGTCGGGGACATGTATCCTAACATGTATGATCTATGTACTAAATTTGAATGAAAACTGACAAAGCATGTCCAAAATACGACATTTTCAAAAAACAAGATGGCTGCCAGTCAGCCATCTTTGATCCAATTGTGAAATAAATCATCATGGACATGTATCCTAACATGTATAATCTATGTACCAAGTTTGAATGAAAACTGACAAAGCATGTCCAAAATACAACATTTTCAAAAAACAAGATGGCTGCCAGTCGGCCATTTTGAATCGAATCGCTAAACCACTGCATGTGCATATGTCCCACATAAAGTACTCGGTACGGGGACTAATAAAAGACTTGCACTCCCATGCAATTAATAGCAAGTGAAATTCCTGGGATTGAAACATTGACTTTGAAGTCACTGGTGTAGACAATGAATAACTTCAAGTTGGCATAAAGACGAGGTAGTTTATTTAATCAGTTCTGAACTAGAGGCTGAAATTATAATTACGCTTGTTGTCATATAATTTATTTGTCATATAATTTATGTTGCTTGTTTTTGAGCAGAGCGGATCGCCAACCAGCCTACTGGCTTGTTTCCATTGGAAATCGAACTATTTTTATTTTGTAAACAAATTTTCGTCTACTATTTTTATCCGGTTCAAATCGTTCAGCGACATTTTTAGCATATTAGGTATACATCGATTGAGAGAACTTGATTTATGTTGACCATCTGGAAACTGAGTTTTATAAACCCTGAAGGGATCTCGGAAGACCCCCCCTCCCCGCAGTAAAATTAACGATTGCCATGGAGGTGCAACCATCAACATCGAAGCGACGTTGCAGCGTTACTCAGTTCCAAATAAAGATTACCAACGCCAAATGAGCAACATTTTAACGGGTAATCAAGATTCATTCAATCCAGGGCTCGGAAGCAACATCACAAGCGAAGTTGAAGCGTGCAGCTCAGCGAAGACCGCTGTCAACGAAAGTCATTCCGTTAGTGGAGTTCCGCAGTTGCACGGCATGCTTGCCAATGCACAATTCTGTGGAGGAATTTTTCACTTCAACATAAATGTAAACGAAGTATGACAGCAGTTACTGAAAAAGAACCGTGGTATGACTGACTTTGAAATGTTCCACCGAGATTGGACAACGCCCTATCGTGCTAATCCTTCACCATTGTATTCAAACGAATCACGAGGTGTGCTGTTACATTTTCTTTCAAACCCGGGATTCAACCATTAGAGACATTTCAGTAAAAAAAACATTGCAAATCATGCAAATTCAACATTTTCAAACCAGTATACTAAAACAGAAATGCTCAGTGATGCAAAAGAATGATAGACATTACTTTTCAGTATACACATCTCTGTTGCTACATATTCTACTCCCAATTATTCCTGCGTAAAATGGAATAGCCTCTTTCCATGATGATATGTTGAGTAAAATCATGTGATAGGCTGTTAAAATCGGCTGTTACAGACTCTTTCGCCAGTCTGGAAAATGTGTTTAATTAGCTCTCATTTAAGCGGCAATGCAGATTTCCCAGTGGGAGTGAAATTAGTTTGACTCTTGCCTTTAAAAAATAGGGGTGTCTTCAGCAAAAAACGAATAACCCTGGAGTGCACACAATACACTGAATTTCAGAACAAATCTTGCATTAGTTACAGCAGCAGAATACCACAGAAATATCAGACGAAACATGAAAACACTATATATTGTATTTTCAGCCTGAACCCTCTCTATTGCAATTCCAGGAGTTACCCCCATATATGCAACCATTTTCCACCTTGGTATCACCCACCTTTGAAAACTTTTAATACCACGCTGAAGCGTTTAATAATAAACAACATTTCTGCTTTATGGGTTTGCTTCTATTGAAGAAATTCCGCAGCCGTGTTGCATGCATAAAATAAAACATGCGATATGTGGGACCAAAGACAAGTCAAATCATTTGAGTTGTCTGGGACAAATGATCACACAATATTGATAGGACTCTCTCACTCACCTTCAGACATCTCTTGAGCTACTGCATATAGTATCCTAATTCCATCCGCCTCAGTAAATGCTTTTCGTCCAGATTCTAGAGAATTCAAATGAAATCAAAATGTCAGCAACAGTATATCTGATTACACAAATTAGTAAAAGATCATTTCTTGTTGTACCAATTTTTTCAATTAAATATAATTCCAGTAAGGAACCAGAAATGCATTTCTAAAAGATGCAATTTTGCTCTGTGAAAATTATGCCCCGGAATTAATCAATCAAATTTTTAATTTTACAGAGCCTCTAGTTCAAAATCAAGGTTGAGGTTTTAACATGGACTGTTTGTTGTCAAATATATCATAGCCTATTGGGACTTTGCATGCTTAAAAGGCCAACTGCCTCTCTGATTAATTTGTTAATGATATTAAAAAAATAAAGCCAACATTCCATAGATATCTAAAACTGCTCAACTTGGTAGGACAATATTTTTCTATTTGTAGCATAACATAGGTCTATCTATAGTCAAAATAAGTTGCATGTTTTGGGTTTATGTGTGCTTCTTTAGGGATGTGCTTCTAATAGAACAAATATGGTAGCCATCTTGTAACTTAAGTCATTAATCCTTAAAACGCAAATAGCACATAGAATTACTAATTTAATATTATCATCTTATAATACAGTTGCCTATCAAGCCACTCCAGAGATGACAAAAATGCACATTGCGCTCACAACTTGACAACACAGGGACTCAATTAAACTGACTTTGGGACAAAGCCCCTCAGTGTCCAAAGTAAATTTTAACACAGGATACATAAAGCATA